TCCTTTTCTTGACTCCCATGTTGGATCTCAGTTCTGGAAAGAGCAATGTTATGGGGAGGCATGGGGCCTGTGGTCAGCTGCTACCTTTGACTGTGTGATCTTGGACAAAATTGTTAATTTCTCTGGGTCTCAGTTTGATCATCTGTAAAATGAGGGTGTTGGATACGTGACCTCTGGGTTCCCTTCTGGCTCTATCTCTGTGATCTGATGATCTCACCTGGGCCCTAACTACAATGAGGGTCTTATAGAGTGGATGGTCTATTGTTCTCTTATCCCTGTTCTCGATGGGTGCTTCTGTGTCGATACTTCCTCCATGCCAATAGAGTAAGTAAGCTGATATATGGCTCTTAAGAATGATCAATGTCTTCTGTACTGTTTCTGTCCTACCAGAATAGTCATTGCAGCATCAAGATCTGAGGTCTAAGTGAGCAATCCTTTTAAAAAATGAAACAAAGTAGGCATAGTATATAATGTCACTTTATCATATGGTGTGCTATATAACCATATGTTTCTGTGGTCAGTTCATATGGTGGCCTGCCTTTTATATATCCCTACACGGTTTGAACTTTAACTATTCTGACTAGATATTTTCTTTTACACCAGCCTGGCAATCAGGACCGACCAAAGTGTTTGTTTTTTTTTTCAAAACTTCACCTAGATAGAATTAGAGGTAGGTGGGAAGGTGGATGGGTAGAGGGAGTTAGATTCCTCACTCACTCTCCTGGCCTCTAGGCCACAACATCCTTTAAAATTGGTGTCTTCTTAATCATATCATACTTTTCAATTACTTTTATATCTTATTCAAAGTGTGCCTTCTTTTCTCTCTTATTTCCCTCTTACCCTTTCACTTTGAACTTTCCATTGTTCCTCCTCAGCTATGCCATTTTTTACATATAAATAGATACATATGTATGTAATATAGTTTATATGTATCTTTATATATAGCCTATCTTTATACACATGTGTATACATTTCTTTGCATATAACTGCATGTCTATATAGATAGACTCTGATGCTCTCTTTCAATGTACTTGTTATATTTGTGCCTCAAGGACAAATCTGAAGGAAAACAATTTTACAGTCTAATATAGCTAAAAATAGGTGATTCAAGGAGAAAGAATGTTTTGTGATAGGATAACCGTCAGATATGAAGAGAAGTCAGCCACCTGATTGGACTTTACTCCTCTAGGAGGCCCAAACCACATGGGATATTGGCACTGAGAGGCAGGAGATGTGGGCAAGAAGGAGGAGGGGAAGGGGAGGAGGAAAAGAAGAGAAATATGGAAGGGAAGGGAATAAGTATTTATATAGTACCTATAATGAGCCAGACACTGTGCTAAGAGTTTTTTTACACATCTTATCTCATTTGATCCTTATAACAACTCTGGGAGGTAGATGCTATTATTATTTCATTTTAAAGTTGAGGAAAGTGAGACCAACAGAGGTTAAGCACCTGTAGTTGATAAGTGTCTGAGGCTCGATTTGAACTCAGGTATTCTTGACTCCCTTCCCAGATTGATTCTTTTGAGTAGGCAAACTAGGCCATCTTTTGCGTCAATTCTTATCTAACCTTAAATCACTGAATGGGTGTTGCTTTAGACAAACTGAGACCTGGGAAAGATCTTAGCTTAAAAAGACTAAGGTCTCCCACTGTATCTGGAACCACCTTCAGTCATCCTGACCTGATGTCATTGATCCTCTTTGAGAATGAAGGACAAACAACAACAACAACAACCAATACTGACTCCAGACCGTATCCACTGTGTCACCTAGATGCCTCTAAGAGGAGCAAGAAAGAACTAAAAAAGATACAGGAAAAGAATAGATAAGACAACTGGAGTAGAGGTAATAGAGGAGAGATTGTGAGGGAAGAAAAGGAGATCGGGATAAAAATTCATACAAAGAAAAATAAACCCCTACCTATCATAGGGAATGGTACAATGCTGCCTCTTAAGCTACCCACTACCACCACCATTATTACCACCACTACCACCATAGACTGCCCTAGATGTGAACTTGGTTGAGGAGTCTAGGGCTTTTCCATTTGCTAATTTACCCATCTTTGAATGACTCCTTAAATCCATAAGATGAGAAGGTATCTGGCTACAAGTGTAGAGGAAGGGATGACAGGTTCCCAAGGATATTTTGTATGACATATATGTGTATTTTAATAGCTCATCACATTATTTATTATATAACCATTGGTTCCTGTGATCAGTGCCCCCCCCATGATATCTCATCCTGCAGAGTATGAACTTTCTTCCGCAGAATGTAAAAACATCTTACATCCAAAAGGAGCAAGATGAGTGGGGAAAACCCATTAGCAACTGTCCTAAGAGAGACAGAAGCACCACACCCAGCCTCCTAGATGTTCTTTGGAACCTGTGCTTCAAATCATCCTGTTTTGATCTTATTGCATTGAAAATCATCTCCTTTCCATGAGTTCCCTTCTCTTTGTTTCCCTTCTAATAGGAAATCTTGGACCTTTCTAGGCATTTATCAGCCAGTCATTCAACAAAGTTATTGAGTGTCTACTAAGTGATGTGTACTGTGGTAGTGACTGGGAAGATAAAACAGAAATGAAACTGTTCCTTCCCTCAAGGGGTTTACATTCTATGTGTTATACGTGTATATACATACATACATATATATATATATAATATATATATATATATATATGCACATACATGAGTATGTATACATATATGCATATACATACACATGTGTATATGTGTGTATGTATGTATATGGTGTTATTTGGTAGTTTCCAACTCTTCATGACCCCATGGACCATGCTATTCATGGGGTTTTCTTGGCAAAGATTCTGCAGTGGTTTGCCATTTATTTCTCTAATGAAGGTAAACAAAGGTTGAGTAACTTGCCTAGGGTCACACAGCTAGTAAGCATCTGAAGCCATATTTAAACTCTGGTGTTCCTGATTCTAGACCCAGCGCTCTATCCACTGAGCTACCTAGCTGCCTATGAATATGTATATATGTTTAAGTGTGTATATATGTGTATATATATATATATATATATATATATATATGTATATATGTGTGTGTGTGTGTGTATATATATATATATGTGTGTGTGTGTATATATATATATATATATATATATATATATATATATATATTATGTATATATATATGTATGTATGGGTATGTTTATGGGAATTGAGGGAGTGGGGAATAGAAGTGAAAGTAGATTCAAGTATACTCCTCAGAACACCTTAGTTCATGCTTTATTCCAATCTAATACTGCCCCCCAACCTCCATCATATTTACAAAATGATACCCAATGTGATTGGAGGAAGGCATCAGATAAAAGTCCTTTCTGTTTTCTTCTGAAGTGCTGATAACTTTGGTTTCCTGGGGGCAATTTATTAAGATAATTGTTATGCCTGCAATAGAATTAGAGGTACCTGTTTTGCATATTTTTTCACTGATTAATTAGAGTATACTGGCTGGTTAACTACATTGTTTTTCACAAGAGTAAAATATATCTGCTGGTAAAATAAAGACTTGAAATTTGTCATTGTTTTCACCATTTGGAGTTCTTACTGCACATTTAAGTGTTAACACAAATCTTCCTTTAGTAACAATTCACATACACACGTATACTTAGATACTGATAATTAAATAAACTGTTTAGATAGAGCTTTAAGGCTTGCAAATTGTTTACATATATTATTTCATATGAGCCTCACAACCACCTTGTGAGAGGTATCTCCACTTTACAGAAAAGGAAACTGAGGGTCAGAGAGATTAAGTGGCTCGCTCATACTGATCTAGCTAGCACATGTAGGAGGCAGGATAGAACCCAGCTCTCTTCTTTGCTTAAGCCTGGTATGATTCCCATTCTCCCTTGTTACTTCCAAATGTCGTGAGTAAATCTGTTAAAGTGGTTGCTGGATCTGGTCCCAAGACCTGGGTACACATGTTGATTCTTCTGTTTTATTAATTTTGTGACTTTGGGCAAATCACTTTGCCTCTCTCTGCCTCTCCTTCCTTATTTAGGACTAGAATGATGAGGTGTTATTCTAGAGCACAGGTTCCCAAAGTGGGTGATACCACTCCCTGGGGGCACTGGAATGATCCAGGGGGGCAGTAGTAACCTCAGATGCAATTGGGAGGCATTAAATAAAAATGAGGGGACAGTGGAAGTATAAGGAAAGAGAAGATAAGAAAATTTAGAAAAACCATTTGTATGTTTCATCTGTTGTATAATAAGGTTTAAGTTGTAGTGATTACATTATTTTCCAAATAAACACACAAAATGCAAGTTATAGCAAATCAGTGATCAAGTCTGCTGACAGGTCTTAACAAGCAAGTGTTGGCTGGTGAGTGTGTTACACATTGTCAGGAAGTCCAGCATCCCATTGGCGAGAATAAGTGCATGTAATGACTTGTTTACAATATAATACTAGATGGTTATGTGATGCAATATCGTGTCATCAAAATTTCAATGCAGGAAAAGCCACAAATTTACAATAAATTATTAAGTTTAAGATGTGTAATTTTTTTAAAAAATATTTTATTTTTTTAAGTGATGCAAATTTAAAAAAAACCAATTAATTTCCAAGGGGGGGTGCTAAGTTATTTTTTTTTTAAAGGAAGTGGTTGTCCAAATAAGTTTGGGAGCTTGTGTTCTAGATCATCAAGAGGCAGCTAGGTGGTACAGTGGATGGAGCTATGTATGTACTTGAGTCAGGAAGACCTTCATCCTTATCCAGCTTAAAACACTTAAACTAGCTCTGGAACTCTGGGCTGTATCTGATCTGACTCACTTTGCTTAACTATCAAATGGGGATCATAGTGACGCCTTGTAGGGTTGTGAGAATCAAATGAAATAATAATTATAAAGCACTGTTACATGGTAGGTCCTTAATAAATGCTTGTTTCCTTTCTTTCTTGTGTGTAAACCATGGAACTATATAATATCCTTAGGAATCTCCATCTTCCAACATAACAGTGTGTTGTCTTTATTCGTTGTAGGTCAGATGGACTAACTGGCTCTCATTCGGAAGGAACCTAACGGATCAGTTATCCTGCTGTATGCCCTGAACATTGTTTGGGTCTAGAAACTGTTCTAAAAATGATTAAAACAGGACAAAAACGTGACCGTGACATGGGACTTCAAGCAGCCTGAGAAGTGGCTTCCAATTAATTGCTTTGCAATTGGAAAGAAGCACTTTTAGATTTCATTGGGCCACCAGGAAAGGCACTTCTCCACTGAAGGGTTAAAATGAGTGCCCCGTTGGTTCCCAACAAGTCCTATTATACTCAGGTGCAAGACAACAGAAATGGAGTGAAAAATAATAATGAAAGCATCCCAAGCCTGGGAGATACAAATGCCAACCAAGTCACATCAGAGGTAAGTCCCTCTGTTGGTGAGACCAAGAGATGTGGTCTTGTAGAAGAAATTGGAAATGGAAACATAGGTGGGTCAGAGACTATCACCCAGATTCGCAAGGAGTTTCACCAACTTCATGGATATGGTAAAGAAGCCCAGAGTGGCCACATCAGTCTGAAGGAGTTTAAGCTTGCTTCTACTACTCTACGAAGGGATCTGGGTGAAGAGGACGTGGCGGAAGAAGCTGTAGATATCATGTCGATTCCTCAGCTGATCCAGGGACCAGAGCTATCCAGTCTGAAAAGTGTTGTGCATGGGACCCACCCAGAGGTTCTTTCTGTAAGTGAAGCTGACATTATCCAGCATGTGTCTAGGGAGAAACTGGCCAAAACCCAGGGTAGCAAAGAACTGAAAAGGCATTCTTTGGAAAGAGCAAGCAGCTTTCCTGCTAAAATGGAAGCATTCACAAAAGAGCATGCCAGTAGCCTGGCTCATAAACACTTCCAGCCTGTTTTGCTTGATTCCATTGAAACATCCTCACATCATGTTGCTGGTGGCACAGAGATATCAGAGACGACATCAGCGGATCACCTTCTAAGGGCAGTGTTTCATCCACATGACAATACCTCAGAGGAAAAGATTGTGTTTTATCCTAAACCATCTACCTCAGAAACCAAGGAAACTGTTCTCCCAGAGACCCACATGGATGGGAGAAATTCTCCAAGTATCAGCATGAAAAGCACACCCCGTCCTGCACACAGAGATTCTCCTCTCATTTTCACTGCAGCACCTGAGGGGATCTTGAACAAGCCAGAAGCACAATTAGGTCAGGGAGAGGAGGTGCCCAAATTGGAGGTGAAAAAGGTACCGACCCTACAGCCTCATATTGTTTGGGAGCAAAAAATGCTCCAAGTTGAAAGCCTAGACTTGCCTAAGGCAGAAAGCATGACAACATTGGGGAAGAAAGGATGGATTGAGGAAAAAGAGGTAGGAAGAGGCCCTCCCCTTCAAGACCCATGTGATAAAATGGCAGATGCTGTTGTAAGTCAAGTAACAACTTATGCAAATGGTGGTCAAGTCCTTTCAGAGTTGGAGAGAGGAAGTAGGGGTAATGAGAAGATAAATACTCTGTGTGATAAAGGGTCTATAGCTACTGCCCAGAAGCTGGGGTCCATTCTCCCTGTTGCCTTAGGGACTGACAGTGATCAGCTCAGTGGTGAAGGTATACTAGACACAGCTAAGTGCTTGGGTGAAGCTGTACTTGGTAACATTCCCATAGTTGATGGTCACACAGCATTTACTCCTGATGGTCTAACTGAGAGCAAACCTAAGAATAAAGGCATGGTAGTTGGAGGAACCCTCCCAGTTTCAGCTCTGGATCCTTTGGGTCAAGCAAATGGTGAAAGTGTGTCTATTGAACATCCCATTCATCAGGACAATGGTTTAGAAGCAATGAAGGATCATCAGGCTGCTGCCGCTCCTGAAAATAAACCTCTTCCTGATGAAGCAGCCAATGAGATTGAGACAGTTGCAGGAAGAACGGTTGGCCCTCTTAGTGTCCCTAGACCATTCCAGGCAGTGACAGCTGTGGATATGAACCACCAGCCCACACCATCCAACAGCAATCTGAAGGACCTTTGCCCATTTCACAATGACACGGTGTCTTCTACCATCCTACCTCCCGTCGACAGTGCACAGTTACTGAATATGTCTTCTAAAGTGCCTAATAAGACTGCTTGCAACAGCGGGATTCCCAAGCCAATCTTGGTGCATTCCAAGGACTCTCTTCCCAACCAGGGAGAGACTGAGAGTGATTTTGTTGAGAGACCTGAAGAAAAGTTGGAAACAGAGCCCATTATCATACCTAAACCCAAACATGTGAGACCCAAAATCATCACTTATATCAGGAGGAATCCTCAGGCCCTTGGTCAGGTGGATACTTCATTGGTTCCGATGGGACTTCCTTATGCTGCTCCATCATGTGGCATGCCTGTGCCAAAAGATCAGAAGACATCAAGTGGTGACCTCAAACCAGCCACTAACCTCTATGAAAAATTCAAACCAGACTTGCAGAAACCACGAATCTTCAGTTCTGGATTGATGGTATCTGGGATCAGGCCTCCAGGACATCATTTTAGTCAAATGAGTGAAAAGTTTTTGCAGGAGGTAAGAGAATGAAGTCTCAGTTTGATGTGTATGATTTGTTTTACCTCTTTAAGAAAATTTGCAGTGATGTCTGGCAATTGGGTGCTTTCCTCTGGGACGTACCTGATGTTAATGGATGCAATTGATACCTCTAACTGGAGAAGAGAGGTGACTTGACATTTTGTGCTGTATCATCATAATCCAATGGGTTCAAAGTAGAGCACAATCCATTTATATACAGCTTTATTGTATAAGTAAATAAGCAAGAGAAGAGGGGAATGTAGCATAAGTACCCTCCTTAAATTGTTCAGATCTCCATTTGAACAGGTTGCTTTTGAGGGATCTTTCAGCCTTTTTCTTCTGTCTCTCTCTCTCTCTCTCTCTCTCTCTCTCTCTCTCTCTCTCTCTCACACACACACACACACACACACACACACACACACTCACACACTCACACTCACACACACATATACTCTCTCACACACTTATACACACACACTCACATACACACATTCTCTCACACATTCTCTCTCAAACACACACACTCATACACATACACATATATACACACAGAGTTGACAGTGTATGTGGACTGAATTTTTGAAGAGGAGGATTCTCCCCATCTTTGTCATTTTTTGAGAATAAACACTCATGTCACAATAATCCAATGAAAGGAATCTCGTGTAGAGACAAGACCTAGTTATCACAGATATCTCTGATTCCCTTCCAGATTTTTTTCTTTTCCTTGTTTTATTTCCACATTGCTTTATACTTGCTAGTCCAGGGGTAGAGAATGTATGGCCTTGAGGCCACACATGGCCTTCTAGGTCCTTGGACTCAGTCAAAAGGCTGCACCCAAGTTTTACAGAACAAATCCTTTTATTCAGGGGATTTGTTCTGTGAAGTTTGAATTTAGTCAATGGGCCGCACTTGAGGACCTAGAGGGCCACATGTGGCCTCAAGGCCACAGGTTCCCCACCTGTGTGCTAGTCACTTAATAAGTGTCTGATGAATTAAGTTGAATTCCCCTTTTCACTCTCTGTATCCTGCTTGCACCATTTAAGAGTAATTTGTGTTATGACTGGATATTTTCCCCAGACATTTATTCTCTTCTGCCTTTTGAAATCATGCCCAAAACTTGGAAAAGTAGACTCATTTGCACTTGGCTTCAGTCATTCAGCTGGGCAGGCTCTGGCCAAGGCTGATTGGAATGATGGATTTTTCACTTCCTTCTGACTGGCATGCTGTATGCTTACCACGAGTCCTATTTCCCCGTTGATGGAAATGCCAGAGATCCTTGAACTATGCCTTGTACAGAGTGTATGCTTAAAATAACTGTGTGTTCAATTGAGTCAGACCTCTTCGGGTGTTTCCCTTAGGCTATAGGATAGAGACAAGGAGTCCTAGGGTAGCCACTGGTCAGGAATCATGTCCATGACTAGTTCCTTTACCATCTGAGGATATGGTTTAGCTGGTAAATAACCAATGGAATACAGGACTGTGGTAACTTAATCATGGATAGAGAAAAAACAGCATGAGCGGTGCGTTGTTTCAGAAAGGCTAGAATGATTACCCCTGCTGCTTTTTATAAAGAGCATCTCAGGGCAGAGATCTTAGATAATTTTCCAAGTGCAATTCTGAAGACTGATGGCTTCAGTTTGCCTCTGGTAAGATAACAAATTACTGAATGACAGGAACAGAAGTAAGCTTCAAATGCAGAAGCCATGCATTTTTAATAAAATGACTGACACTAGTAAAAAAAAACCCTTCAGACTGCTGGCTTTCCTATCCTTATTGATAAGGACCCCCATGCATCATAGCAGGGTCATGAACACAGAGATTAGCACAGCATCTTTCCTGGTAGAGGGGATATTAGGGATGCTACCCCCTGTCCATTCCTCTGGGCTATTTCTGAGTGGGTAGTCCTGTACTTGCTCGGAGGTAAACCAGGACAGAGGGGCCCTGATGATAGGAATGCCCAAGGCATAAGGTAGGGAGTAAGGTAGCCTAACTCTTGTGTGAGGTGGCCTTCCTGTGTTAATTCAATCAGATTTTAATTTTTATATTGCTTAGTTTTAGGATTTTAAAGAAATCATTAAAGTACCTTTTATTCCTTTTCGAAGTTTTATCTATTAACCTCCCCATAAGAATATATCCCTACCATTGGAGAAGCATTTTGTATTGATCTCTGTGTATTTATCACCAGTCTCTGCTACCTCAAGTACTCTGTCAACAGAGATGAAAGCAAGTAGTTTGAAGCTTTTTGCCGGTTGGCCTGTTCTATTAAAAATGCATGTTTTTACATTTGAAGCTCATTTCTGTTCTTGATACTGAGATTTGTTATTTAACTGGAGGCAGATTCTCTAAGAAAATGGCAGGCATGGTAGATAATGACCTCCTCGGGGTCATTGTGATCAGAGCCAGTTTGACCTGGGAACAACATCAGTTTCCAGAGAACTGAGAAAGTACAGGGAAGATCAAAACTTAGCAGAAGCGGTTCAATGGACCTAGGGAAGTGGAGGTTAGCAAAGATGATTAGTTTGGCGTTAATAATTGTCTGAATAGGAACACCTGTTTAAAAGTGGCAAGTTGTCACTGACCAAGAGATCAATATATCAGCAACCAAAATTTTAAAAATTAGTTCTTTGAACATATTTGGAAAAAAAGGAAAAAAAATAAGGAGAAAATAAAATGAGATTCAGAGACCTGCCCCTCCTCCCCCAAAAAAGATCAGAAAGCGAAGAGAGAATATTCTTTCATAGGAATATAATTTGACACTGTGATTCATATATCTACTGTAGCAATCATGCCTATTTTACGATATAATTCTATTAATAAAGGCTTTGAAGACCTAATCTCTCACTTCAATAATGGCAGTTTTAAGGAGAATTTTGTATCTTTTTCAGTATTAAAAGGGTGTCAAATTGGGATGGTATCTTGCACAGTTAGGATCAAAGCTTTTATAGCCTCTATTAAAATGTATTGTTTAAATGCTTATAATTGCTAAATAGAGAGTGGTTTGACATATTAAATGCATTGTAAGTTATAGCAGAGTTAATTAACCGATATATTTTTTGCATGTGTAGCCCCAGGCACTATTTTTGATTAAATTTTAAAGGAGATTGAATCGTGATTTTCACCTCATTTTTTTTCATTTTTAATGTAAATGAGATACAGTAAATATCAATAGGCCTTACCAGTGCGGTAAGATTTTCCATTTAAAAAGAGTTTTCATAAGTAGGACTCAAATCTAGACCATTAACTACTGGGAAAAAATACTTATCTTAAATTTTGGGGAGAAAGAAAAGCTTTGATCTGACTTTCCTGGGAATAATTACCTTAATTGTAGGAGAAAGCAATGAGAGGAAGTATCTGCTATCCAGAACATGATGGGCTGATTCGGGTTCCTTCAACTTTTAGTCATTTAAATGCAGCAAAGCTATCCAACGATATGGTTTTTGTTTGCAACTTGGAAAATTAGCCCACTTTTCCTGGGTAACAATATTTTCTGGTGCTGACTTAGTTCTTTGCCTACTGATGGACTGGTGTTCTTCACAGAGACTGGTAGTGTCTGTCTTCTTATTTGCAAGGCTTCATTGCCACTGACATCTTTTCATAATATTTAGATTTTTTTTTGACAGTTTACCTCTTTGTATTAACCATTTGGATATGCATTCCCATGCTATCTCATGAGCTCATGCAAAAGACCCTGAAGGCAGAAACTTGCACAATTACAGTTGTATCTTCTTAAAATGATGTATATTACTCAGTTACATTATTCCAGAAAAGACCATATAGAACATTTTATAAATCAGGGAACTGTAAAACTTACCACACAGCTAATTGGTAGTAGTGCTAGAACTAGAACCCAGACCCCCTGACTCCTTTGCCTATCATGCCCCACCATCTTATATTTATTCTTCTAATTGTTTCTTTCTCTGAAGGTGGCAGACAGACCTGGGAAAGAAGAATTTTGTTCACCCCCATATACCCACTATGAAGTACCTCCAGCTTTCTACCGATCTGCCATGCTTCTTAAACCCCAGCTGGGATTGGGTGCGATGTCCCGGCTGCCCTCTGCTAAGAGCAGGATTCTGATTGCAAGTCAGAGGTCTTCGAGTACTTCTCTTCATCCACCAGGACCAATTGCAAATGCTACCAATGTCTATCATTCTGATCCTTCAGGTAAATATTTAAATAATTGCTCTCTGATGTTTTTTAATGAGAACACATAAAATAGAAGTAACTGAGATTATTAATAGCTACTGACACTTTGAGAGAAACTTTTTTTCATCATTCAGAGTTGTGTCTTCTGTGGGGTATATAACTACCCCAGACTAATCAATTCCTTCCCATTTGCAAGGTATTGACTTAGTGTTCTATCAGCAGTCTTATTATCTCCCCCCAAGAAATAATTTTAAAAATACTAATTTTCCTGGGCAAGAGTTAAGTGGTATTTGCTTTTTCTTTGGTCTGGAATCGCAGGGGTGGGGAACCTTCGGTCTCAAAGCCACATGTGGTCCTTGAGGTCCTCAAGTGTGGCTCTTTGACAGAGGGCCACACTTGAGGACCTGAAGGGCCACATGTGGCTTTGAGACCGAAGGTTCCCCACCCCTGGTCTGGACCCATGAGGTCATCAGCGTGGGCTTCTCCCAGTATGGAAACTCTGAGCCACCATGGATGCAGTTTGCTAACTCATCTGTAACTTAGGGTCTTAGAGAGTCACCCTGGGACATTAACTCTCGACAGGTTAAGCGATGCGTGTTTCATCATCCTTTTATGTGTTTTCCTTTGCTGCACTGTACTCAAGTACTACATAATGCTAGCTGTTATTTATTATCTACTAGGCCATATGATCATAGATATAAAGTCAGGAGGGACTTAACCCATCCTCTTCATTTTATAGATGAGGAAAGTGACTCCCAGAGTGGTTAAGTGACTTGCCCAATTTCCCATAGAAAGTAAGAGACAGAGCTGAGATTCAAATTCAGGTCTGTTGATTCCAAAGCCATTGCTCTTTCCACCTTGCCTGAATTTATTATCTGATATTATCTGACATTATCTGGCATTATCTGAAGTTAAAGGCCCTAGCATAAGTAAGTAAGGTTTATTCAAACTTGGATTTTAGAAATGTGGCATCTTCCCCCCAACCCTGTTCCATCCCACCTTCATATGACCCTCCTGAATGCTGTATCCATGTTCATGTCTCTTTGGGGTTCTCTTCATTTAGTCACACCCACAGCTCTTGAGGCCCCATTCCATAAATCTCCTAGACAAAGCCAACAGACACATAAATGCAAAACAGAAAGCATTTAATAAAGCATAACAAACTAGTAGCAAAGATCTTATGTCATGTAATAAGCCTTTTTTCCCCCCCAGCGCATTTGCCCGTGACTATCTATCACCTCCTTTGACTCCAAGGGAGGCTGTGAGTCCTTTATCCATTCATTTTCTTGGCACCTTCAACCCTGTAGGAGAGGGATACAGGCAGTTTAAGCCTATGCACTAATGATACAGGGCACCTACGTGGTGTAGTAGATAGAGTGCCACTCCTGGAGTCAGAAGGAACAGAGTTCAAATTTGGCCTCAGACACTTAGTAGCTTTGTGACCCTGGGCAAGTCACTTAATCCTAATTGCCTCAGTTCCTTGTCCATAAAATGAGCTGGAAAAGGGAATGGCAAACCACTGCAGTATCTTTGCCAAGAAAACCCAAGACTGAGTCACAAAGAGTTGGACACAACTGAAAAACAACTAAACAACTGACTAATACTGCAGCTTGAAATCTGAACTGCACTGCCTGGTAAACTCCCCTTCCAGCCTTGGCTTGAGAGGGCAGAGAGCAGTGCTCACCATTACCATGTGTACAAAAGCCCCTGGTTTCTCCATTGCCCTGTGCTTCTGGTCATGCCCTCTCTTCCAGCCTCCACCTCTCTCTAGTCTCCTAGAGGACCACTCCTTTTCTGGTGGCTAATTATTTTGCTCTTTGTGCAAGACTCATTCACATGTACTATTTTTTTTTAAACTTCTCCACCTGGGAGTACTTATTATTCAGGATCTCCTTTGTAGACACCACACACAGGCTTCTGGGAGATGAATTTCAGAGACTTTCTCCCAGTGAGTGAAGCTTTGGACCTAAAAGCATTGTGGGAACATTTTATATACTTTATGAATGCCTTTGACTGAGACAGATATTCTAAAACAGGTGTCAACACAACTCATTTCCCAAAGTTAATTAAACCAGTCAGGCTTCATTTTGAAAAAAAAAAATTTAGACAGATGAACAGCTGTCCTGCTCTTAAAGACCCTCAAGGAAAAGGATTGCATGGCTTTCTCTTTGATACCTAGTCTAAGGCTTCATTCTTAGTACATTTTCCCTTAAATCTGACTTAAACCAATTATCTTGTTATTTAAATTCATTTTAAAATAATTATTTATTTGCAATAGATAAAACCTAGATATACTGTCTTTGACAATTAGCTACCTAGTTGATGTCCTTGCAAATGCCAAAAATAATTCAAATTCCCAACACCTTTTTACTTAGAGTCCTCTTTTTCAATCCTTTGCCTTTTATCACTCTCCTCTGAACCTTCAGTTCTTGGAAATCTCTAAAAAAATCAGGATTTTAAAGTCAATTTTTCTCCTAATTTGCCTCATACAAAAGAAAAAAAGAATTATTTTAAAAACATAATGACAAAAATAATTTTATTGATGATAACAATAACTAGTATTTGTGGAGCAACTCAGGGTTTGCAAAGTGCTTTGCAAAGATCTCATAACCATAACAAATATCCTCCTAACAGCCCTGGGGTGTAGATACTGTTATTAGCCACATTTTACAGATGAGGAATCAGGCAAATAATTCCTGACTTGAGGTCTAGTGCTTTATTTATCTAGCTGCCTCATAGATGAAGGGGGAAGTGTCAGAGAATTTGGTATGTTTATTCTCCCAATAGTCCATCGATGGGGAGAGAAGAGTGCTGCTTCACAATGCATAATGGTCTAAGACAAGGATGGGAAACCTGTGACCTCCAGGTCCTCAAGAGTGGTTCTTCAGTTGGGAGTCAAAGGGCCATACTTGAGGACCTAGATGGCCACCTCTATCTTGAGGCCACAGGTTCCCCACCTCTGGTCTGAGAAATACAGAATTGCTAGATTTGAAGAATGATCTTTGGTTGAATTTTTATGAGCTTAGGTAGTAAAAAATGGGTTATTTTTTACAGTCTGATATGCTTGCCAAATATCCTGGAATTCGATTCATAAACTCGTACTCATCACAATTAATTAAGCAGGCAAGCAACTGGGAAATTGTGAAACACTCATGAAATGTCAATAGAATCAGAGCCTTTAAAACTACTGCATTTCCTGGGGCAGCTAGGCGGTGCAGTGAATAGAGTACCGGCTCTGGATTCAGGAGAACCTGAGTTCAAATCCGGCCTCAGACACATAACACTTACCAGCTGTGGGATCCTGGGCAAGTCAGTTAACCCCATTGCCTAACTAATACATAAATACATAAACAAACAAGCAAACAAGTAAATAAATAACTACTGCATTTCTTCATACTTCAATATTTCAGGGATCTGTGCATTTACCATTTTTATATATTTTTCATTACTTATTGGAGAAGGAAGTGGCAAACCACTCCAGTGTCTTTGCCAAGAAAACCCCAAATGGGGTCACGAAGAGTTGGAGATGACTGAAACAACTGAACAACAACAAAAATGCCTTCCATTGATGCAGATCACATACTCTTTCTGATTTGTTAGACAGTCTTTGGAAGAGATTATAGCCAAAAATTTATCATTCTGGCTACTTTGCTGATGAGCCTATCTGATGAACATAGGTGAGCCTTTAGATAACAACCATGCAGTCATTGGGTAAAATCAGTGATAGACTTTGAGGTAGAAAGGACCTTAGAGGTCATTTAAATACAACTCATTCCTTTTATCTCTGCAGGAACTGAAGCCAAAAGTTAAGTAACTTGTCCAAGGTCACACAGAGATAAGATATGGATCTAGGTCCTCTAACAAGAAATCCAGCACTTAGAGCTTAGAAAACCAGCACTCTGCTGGCAAAGCCTTCAAGAACCCAGTGTCATCTCCATGATTTGATGGTGTCGTCAACAAATTTAAAATTTTTACTTCATTTATTATGCCATCAGGTGTTTATTTCTATCAGTCATTCATTGTGTGGCAAGGTGGTCCAATGGATAGAGCACTCAACTTGGAGTCAGAAGAACTTAAATTATAACCCTGGGCAAGTCACTTAACTTCTGACTGCCTCAGTTTTCTTGTCTGTAAAATGAGGGGATATTAAAGGCACTTACCTCCCAGAGTGGTTGTAAGGATCAAATGAAGTGACATTTGTAAAGTACTTTATAAATCTAACGTGTTATATAATTGCCTAGCTATTGTTATTAACTCTTATTATGTGTTTGTTAATTTAACAAACATTTGGTGAACAAAATATACCATGCTAGTTGCTATGTGGAATATGAAGACACATCACTCATACCTACAAAGAATATTGCCTACAATATTGCCTAGGAGGTAAGGCAAGTATGTAAACATCTACAATTCAAGTCAATATACGAGAAATGTCGTATGAAAATTTAAAATAAAATTGCAAAGTGGGGAGGGTTGCTCCCAGCATGTAATGGTCATGGAGAAGGTGGCTTTTTACATGGCCTTGAATGAAGGTTGATTCTCTATAATTTCAGACATAAATTTATGTGCTTGCACATATATAAACTATAGCAGACTTCTTCCAATCTCAGGGAGGGAGGAGGGAAAGGAAGGAAGGAGGAGTGGAGGGATAGAATTTAGAACTTAAAACTCAAAAAAACAGTTTAAAAATTGTTTTTTTGGAATGTAATTGGGGAAAAAATAAAATATTATGTATGAAATGTGAGAAAGGAGGTAAGATGGAGTGGCCAAGTCAGTCTTAGAAACGCTTAACCTACAATATCTTATTTCTTAATCAACATAAAGTTGATTTATATATGAAAAGTTAAATGTTCTTAGTGTTGTTATTTTAGATTTTATAAAAAGCTGACATCATCAGTTGCTTTAAAAAGGTTGTGTAAGAGATATCTGGAAACAAAACTTGGTAACTCCTACATTACATAAAACAAAAGAAAAAATTATTTCACAGCTTGGGACACAAGAGTAAGTTCGAAATACAT